CGTTAAGACATGACTAAGCGTCTTTCAAAGATCTCCACTGGACCGCACTAAAAAAAAATGTGGTTTTTTGGGGGGGAAATTTCACGGGGGGTTTCAACGGAGGGGTGGGGGAGGTGTCAGCCCGATGACGATTATTTTTTAAAAAAACTTTTATTTTGAATTTTTGGTTGTACTATAGCTGGTTTTTTTTATTTTATTTACTGGTTTGTTCTTTCTGTTCTGCAGATATTACAACGGAAACGATTCTAAATGTAATTCCTGTGGTTTCTATTCCGCTTTGGTTTCATGTTTTAAAATAAACAACTTTTGAAAAGGCTCTGCTTTGGCGAATGAATGATTTATACAGGATATATTTCATTGTTCAGAGTTAGTGGCTTTGTCTTGCTGCGCTGCGCCTGGTCCCTCCACAAGGTGGCAGCACCTCCCTGCGTTTCCCATGGGCAAAGAACTCACCATGAAAAATCAGAGCCAGATTTAATCTTCTTCCTTCAGCACTCCTCCAGGGCAGGTATAATAGCAATAGCAATAGCAGTTAGACTTATATACNGATAGCAGTCTCCCAATATCTCAGGGGCTGCCCCAAAGAAGAGGGAGTCAAGCTATTCTCCAGAACACCTCAAGGCAGGACAAGAAGCAATGGGTGGAAACCCATCAAGGAGAGATGCAACCTAGAACTAAGGAGAAACTTCCCGAAAGTGGGAACAATTAACCAGTGGAACAGCTTGCCTCTAGAAGTTGTGGATGCTCCATCACTGGAGATTCTAAGAAGAACCTGGACAACCACTTATCTGAAATGGGATAGGTCTCTAGCCTGAGCAGGAGATTGGACTAGAAGACCTCCAAAGTCCCTTCCAACTCTTGTTATTCTTTAGACAACTCTCCCCAAGTGGCTGCCAAGATGGGTTTGTCCATCCCAAAATAGCAATTCATGAAAACATTTATTTGGGTGGGGGGAGAGATGGTGGGTCTCCTGGCCAACTTGGTAGCCTTCCTCCCAGGATGATTTCAGCTGGGGTAAGTTTGACCCAGATTCCCAATATCTGAACGTCTGATTGTCTTAATGCTTTGTTTCTTGGTCTGGGTGACTTAAACCCTTTAGTGTTTTTACCTGCTTATGGATCTCCGACTTGGGTACTTGATGGAGATTCTCGAGATGCGAGTGGAAAAGATTACTTCGGATCAGCTTCACCCCCAGGACAGATTCTATGATGTACCCAATGGTGCAATCATCAGGGAGACGGATTTTTTCCGCGGTGCTCATGAAGTGTCCACCGCTGGAGAGAAAGGGACGAGAATTGGAGAAGAGTAAGAAAAAGCAGGTTTTCATTATCATTCCATCTGCTCCCAATTTGAAAACCCACAAAGGGTTAAACTCTAACATTAAAATGCCCTCTGATTTATATTTGTGTAAATGCAATTTGTGAAGGTGGTTTTCCAACTGATGAGAATGTCAGGTGATAAGATTCCTGTGTCGTGTTCAAACGAGACTTGTTAAGCATAGTTTGAATGCGTCACGACTGGGCCTCCCACAGGTTAAACTCGGAGCGTAGGGAAATTTGGAAAAATTAAGGGGGAAACCTGCTAAAACTTTGGTGTCCCACTAAGTAACTTCCTTTGTATGTTTAAGAAATGGCCTTTTGCATCAAAGATGCTAAAATGTGGCTCATAAATATTATGGAGTTTGATCTGTAACCACCATTGAGATGTGTCAGGCATGGTTGATGAGTAAGGTAAAGCTTCCCCTCGCACATAGGTGCTACTCGTTCCCGACTCTAGGGGGCGGTGCTCATCTCCGTTTCAAAGCCGAAGAGCCAGCGCTGTCCGAAGACGTCTCCGTGGTCATGTGGTCCCTATTTTTCTTTTTTCTTTTTTTAAATAATTTTTATTGAATGTTTTAATCTTTAAAAACAGAAAGAAAAACACCACAAGAACAAACAAATCACAAAACGTTCATAACCATATAAAATAATTGTACAGC